ATTTCTCAGTAGCGAAGAGCGCTCGGGCTAGTTTTAAGTCGATAAAAACACATGTGGCTAGAGGCTTGGTTAATAGAGCCGGATTTTTGATATTTCACTTTTTAAATTAATGGTCAGCGTCAAAAGCCCAGAATTCGAAAAAGTCTCATTAACTTTGGTAAAGATGTTTTTCTAACCACAATCTAGAACGAATATCAAAAATCGAGCTCTATTAGCCTCTAGTCACAGGAGACTTTTCTGAGCTCGCTATGATGTTTCGTTATCGAGAAATTTTGCGGCTACGAAATAGTGTTAGGGTGAAAGTCACTTTCGAGATATGNCTCTTTCGAGATATGGTGGCGCCAGTATCTGATGCATGTTTTGGGGCTTCCAGCAAAACCCTCGTAACTCTTTATTAGACCATCATTCAGAGCTGGAAGATATCTCATTTTGATCAGAAATGTTTGCTCTATTTTCTGGTATTACTAAAAGCACTTTTTTATTTGCTTTTAATCGGAAAGTAAATAAATCGGGCGGCTTAGCTCGTTGGGCGATGGAAAGTTAAAATTTTTAATTTTCTCTAGTGAATGGTTTTCAAACATATCCTTGAAAAACACAAAACGGATTACACACTTTTTGTTTCGATTAAATAAATCTAACATCTGATTTAAAGACATTCTACAAAAACAAAGTGTGCGGATGACACAAATTCTGTTTTTTATATCGTAAATTCGAAAACTAAACTTTTCTACAGAAGTGAGCCTTGTAGAATAGAATTTCTCCAACGTCAATATTTGGTCTGTGTAACTGTCGAACTATCTCTTCTCTTATGTACGCTTTATGTCTATTGTATTAGGACAGATACATAAAAATTTTATTATTATGGTTCTCAACACAGTCAGAGGAGTATGATAATACCCTAGAGAAAGAATTTTTGACAATTTTTATAAGTTGCTGATAAGATTCTTACAAGATCCTTATATAAAATGTTGCATGGAAGTGATAAGAACTTCACTGGGTCTTATAAAAAACTTACAAGATATTCATAAGAAAGTAACAAGCCGTTTTGTCACTTTCTTATAAATATTTTATAAGAATCTTATCAGTTTCTTATCAATTTCCTATGAACTTCTTATAAAATTCTTATCTAATTCTGACAAAAAAAGTTTCTTGATTTTGCAGATCCAGTCCATACTCTTGTGTTTCCTTATTCAATTTGCTGCTCTCTTCAGCTGTTCTTACCGTGCTGTAAAACCACTTTAATCTCCTATACTTATTAACTAAGGGCATGTTGCTAGAGATCAGGCTGAAAAGGTGGAATTTAGGCAAACGGGCGAGATGTCGTACCCTGTATTCTCCTGTCACACAATGTTGTTTTCGAATCTCATTCTTTTCCAATAGTCACGATAAATTTGGAGAAGTACATCCTAACTGCAGGCAGTGGACCATGAGGGCGCGTCTTTATACTGCCCACTTACCATTTAGCTCTTATTTATAGGAAATTGATCAAAAACAGGTAAGATTCTTATAAGATATTCATAAGAAAGTGACAAAACGGCTTGTTACTTTCTTATGAATATCTTGTAAGTTTCTTAGAAGAATCTTATCGAAACCAGTGAATTTCTTATCACTTTCGTACAGCATCTTATATAAGAATCTTATCAGAAACTTATAAAAAGCTGATAAGTATTTTGTATGCTTCTTGTGAGTGCCTTGTGAGATCCCTATATAAGAATCGGTGTCTAGGGTAAGATATCATATAAAGTCGATCTGTTTTACAATAAAAGTACTTTATATATTGAAAGGGAGTGGAGCGTGTAAAACCATGTAACTTTTTTAATTTTTTCTGATTAATTTTTAGGTAGTCAAACATCGTAATTAAAGCTAATCAGCATGCTTTACCGAGTTTTAACACATATTTAGCATATTTCGTTCATTTCGATAATTCATGATATCTATGAGAAAAAGTTTTCGTTTCATTTTGGAATGGGCAAATATGCGAGTTTGTTTCTTTTCACTTTAGTCTAGCTTGTTTATTAACTTTTTCACTTATTTTTATTGATTTTTCATTTTTGGCTGATATTCGCTTCCTACCGAAGTATATTCATCAGCAAAACATCATATTTTCAACACAGACTTTTACAACAGTCATCAGGCTTTTTTGTCCAACGATAGTTAGAGATAGTCGCCATCTTTTTATTATCCAGAACGTATGGGATAGCGCTAGCTCTGGTGTATCAGCGCTTTTGGAAATATTGCCAATTTTTCATTCGATATCGTAGGACGGTCGGGATATCCCATTTGGAAAACTCTGCGAGCTAATTTCGTCCAGCTCGATCAACACACTCAACATTAATTCACCGATAATGCTTTGTAACATATCCAGTGGTCGTTGAAAACGCCACCGATGGATCAATGTCGAGTATGTTGACCCAGGTAAACGAAGTTAGCTTACCGAATTATCTAAATAGGGATATCCTAACCATCTTATGGAGGCATGTGTAAATGAAGTCGAACCAGACTTACTTTATGAATAACGTGTAAAATCTTTAACATTATCGATTGCAGCTAATGATTGTATTTTGATATTTTCAACGCTAGCAATCAATTGTTTCTGCTGTTGATCAAATAGAATTATATCTGCTGAATAATTATAATCCTTTGTCAGGCCATTCACAGATGAATGAGATGAATTATAAACAAATAACTTTTGTTGTTTTTGGTTATCATAGTTGAATACTGTTATTTTATCAATGGATATAGGTACATTCGCTCCCATACCGATCATTAAGATAAGTGAACTTTGAAAGCAGCTATCCAATAATGGTGGAAATAGATAATATTTCTCATCTTGCTCTTTTTGTTGACTACATTCTGCTAATACTTTTGAATTTGTACCTGATAACGATTTTATCTGTTGAAAGTAGGGTCCAAAATAATTTCCACTTCTTCGAAAGTATCTATATAAATTTGACATATGATTATTATCTATTGACCATATCGCACTACGATTGTTATTGTCCGTGAATGTTGCTTGTATTGTGTCAAAATTGTATATTGATGGTATTTCTAAAGCAGTTTTTTTTTGTTGCAATTGAATTAAACCAGTTGAATGTAGTGTCCATTGTCTGGATGTGTAATTATGCAAATCGTTATTACTTTGATAGTTTTGAATTAAATCTGTTCCCGATTGACCCATTTTTCTCAAAGCATCTTTTGTTGATGGATAACGACGACTGTAAATAGAAAATTGTTTGTAGCCAGGCATTTGAATTTGTGTATAAATTTCAGTTAATTCATCTTTGTTTAAGATACATGCTTGTAAAAATTCTACTCGTTCAAATGTTACTGCTGTTGGTGCAGCAGATCTATGAGAGAGTAGTTGATAAACGGCAGCCAAAGCCAACTCAATGAAACCAGCAGCAGGGAAAAAAATATTCCCCTGTACTTGATGATCTATAAGATAAGCATGTTTTGCTGTTTGTAAATTAATTATTGATTTCCATGTTGGTAATTGTTGGTTTGACCATAAACGCTGACCTAATAGTGGGTGACATTCTTGTCTTTTA